CTCACACCTGTAATCCCACCACTCTGGGAGGCCGAGGCAGGTAGGATCACTTGAGGGTCAAGAGTTTGAGACCAGCCTGAGCAAGAGTGAGACCCCATCTCTAATAAAAATAGAAAAAATTAGTCGGGCGTGCTGGCATGCCCCTGTAGCCCAGCTATTCGGGAGGCCGAAGCAAGAGGATTGCTTTAGCCCAGGAGTTTGAGGTTGCTGTGAATTAGGCTGACGACATGGCACTCTAGCCTGGGCAACAGAGTGAGACTCTGCCTCCAAAAAAAAAATCACAAATGTAGTATACATAAGGCATAAAGAAACTTGTGCTTTTGAATGGTACCAGCGCCTCATGAATTTAATGTAAATGTTCACATTGTGTGGCCCTGGTGTAAGTGAATCATTTTACAATATGAAAGCCAAAACATAGAGACCCTCAAAATCCAAGATTATGCAACAAAGTATGCCCGATTTTTTGGGATAGGTAACAGCAAATGAGAAAGTTGCTTTCCAAGAATGCTTCTTCAGCAAAAATGGGAAAAGCCATCAATATCCTCTCCTACTCTACAAAGACTAAAAAGGGGTAGGTTCTTTAAGTCAAACAAAAGCTAAATAAAAGGAAGGAGTCAAATTAAAAGAGAATATTTAGTTGGATGCAAGGATAAACTTAGTGGGAAGGAGGAGCTTGGAAGAAGGGATAGAGAGAAACGGTACTGGGTCCTGAAGGGATGGGATCATCCCCAGGGCTATGAGCATCAGGCTTCAGCACAGGTCACTAGAGCAGTCAAAGGCCACTACCAAGTGGAGCGTAGCATGGCTAGGGAGCAGTGAATTGCAGCATGCACTGTCCTGCCTTTACCTCTGGAATTTGTTTTGTCTTGTGACTTCTTTTGGATAGTGTTCATACACAACTGGCTGCTACAATGGTAGAGATCTAAAGGAAGTGGCAGCCAGGTTTTTTGTTGTTTTTATTTTTAAGAAACCGATAAGTAGAAACCCAAGGAATATTTTTGGCAGCTACTGAACCACCGCCAGTACTGGGGAAGCTAGTCCACTAGTGGTGGTGTAGTGTACATGGGCCTTCCAAGCTTACAGAATTCACCTACTCTGAGTCTTCCTGCTTTGCCATTCATCAGAGGTTGCAAAGTCGTGCCTTCAGGGACAAGGGTTTGAGTGATGAGAGGAGTGAAGCAGCTGGGAGAGGACTGTATTGAACTGGGAGAACATTCCCCATCTAAAGTCTCAGCTGATTATTGCCATTGGGGAATATGTGACAATGTTCTCGTTTTTGCCAATTTTTTGAGAGAAGCTAGAAATCAGATAGGTGACATCTAATCTTAAATGTTAACAACGAATTTCAGTGTCAAGAGGAAAGAGAACTGCACAGGCCTGTGGGGAGAAAAGGTGCTAACCTTTGTAAATGATTGAAAACTAAAGACACAAGGAACTGTACTTAAGCACTATACTCCAGCAGGTAAAGTTTTTTAAAGGGGTGCAGGTTAATAATTCTGAAACTGTATGTGTGTACAGTATAGAAAAGTGGTGTGGCGGGAGTACCTTTATAGTGGAGGAACCTATCCAACACAACCTAAGCCAAGTGATCAAGGTCAACATCAACAGTGATAAATCACGTTCACAGTATGTACCCTTGATGTGACGTGCTGGGAATGACACTTTACCTCTGTGGTATTCCATATAAAAACCATGAGAAACACATCAGATAAATCCAGACTGACATTCTAAAAAACACCTGACCAGTTCTCAAAACCATCAAGATCATCAAAAACAAGAAAAGTCTGAGAAACTGTCACAGACCAGAGGAGGCTGAGACGTGATGAGTGAATGTAATGTGTTATCTTGGAGGGAATCCTGGAACAGAAAAGGGATATTAGACAAAAACTAATGAAATCCAAATAAAGTATGGAGTCTAGTTAATAATTATGTATCCATATGGTTTCATTAGTTGTCAACAGATGTACTATAGTGCATGTAAGATGTTAACAATTGGGGAAACTGCGTTTGGGGTATACAGGAACTCTACTGGCAACTTTTCTGTAAATCTGAAACTATTCTAAAATTGTTTCTTTTTAAAAAAAATATCTGCACAGGCCACTTAACCATATGAAAAGCTATTCAGCCTTGCTTATAATGAGAAATGGCACTGAGATACTATTTCTCACAAGTCACCAAAAATCAAAGCAGTGACAATATGCTCTCTTGGTGAGGCTGTGGGGCCAAACACTGTCTATCATACATTTATGTGGGTTGTCTTAGTCCGTTTAGTGTTGCTGTAAACTGTTACATGAGGCCGGGTAATTTGTAAAGAAAAGAGGTTTATTTGGGTCACAGTTCTGATGGCTGGAAAGTTCAAGATTGGGCATCTGCATCTGGTGAGGGTGTCGGGCCACGTCCACTCAGAAGGCAGGAGGGGAGCTGGAAGGGGCTAAGATCACACAGAGCAGAAAGGAGAGGAGGGAGGTGTCAGGCTCTTTTTAACAACCAGCTCTCTAGGAAACTAATGGAGTGAGAATTCTCTGTTGAGGGAGGGCACTAATTTATTCATGAGAGATCTGTCCCTATGACAAAAACACCTCGACTATTCAGGATCAAATTTCAACATGAGGTTTAGAGGGATCAAACGTCGAAACCATAGCAGGGGTTTTACCAGTATCTAGCAGAATTACATACTTATTTATGCCTTGGCCCAAAAGTCCCATTTGTAGGGATCTATCCCAAAGATACACTGGCAAAAATATGAAAAGACAAAAAGTAGGCACAAGTCCCAGGAATTCAAAGTTACAGAGAACAGTATGACCAGGCCACTGCACTCCAGCCTGGGAGACAGAGAAAGACCCCGTCTCTAAATAAAAAAGTGTGCACAAGCCTGTTTATTCACTGCCTCATTTATAATAACTAATGATAGAAACAACTCAAATGCCCATTAATAGGTAGTCAAAACAAAAACCTGAATCCAGTCAGGCCTCTAGAATCTAGATCTAAGTAACAATTTATTGGAAATACAAGAGACAAAATATGTTAACACAATATGCGATTGGAAACAATGCCATTTTTTTCCAGTTAAATTGAAAGGGAATAAAATTTCCAATTAAATTTTTAAACACTGGATATTTGATAAAAATTAATTTCTTCACATTGACTTCGTGGTTTTAATTTTTAGATTGTCCTTGTCTTTCAGAGATACATGCTGCATATTTACACATGAAATGTTCTGCCCAGGATTTGCTGCAACATAATCTCAGGTAGGGGTAGAGATGGAGTGTCGAGAAAGATTGACTGCAGACTGATAATCACTGAAGTTGCCACATACTTCATAGCAGTCTCCCTATTTTCACAAATGTTTAAAATCATCCATAATGAAAAGATAACAACAAATTGATCAGGCCAGAAAATTACAACTATGAGCCAGATTCAAAAAGTGAGCTACCATTTGCATGCATTGTCCTAGTATTTTTAATAGCACATGAATATATAAGCATGACAGATTACAGTGGTCCCAAATGCAGCTGCAATACTAGCCCTTCCTTTTACGCCATTTCTTATGGGAAAATTGGTTTTGACAGGTTTCTAGACTGCACACATTTAACATTCCACACCTGTGCTTCAGCTAGCTTCCTCCTGGAAAGCAAAGCCGGCCAGGTGAGGTTTAGGAAGGTGACTGATTCATCAGCCTGGAATGTAGGCTCTCACTGTGCCAGCACCTGAGCTGGGGTCGGGTACTCGGGGAGAGGGCCACCTGGCATCCGAAATAGGGTCTCATACTGGAAACAGCAACTGGTACTGGAAAAGTAAAGAAACAGCTGAGTCTGTTTTTAACATTTATTAATCAAAAAATACATAAAATTCTTTCTACCCCATGTTCTTGGACTCTCAAGATGTGGGGTAGCTGCCAGCCTTAATTAAGTATCTGATATGATACCTTCATGCTCATATCTTTCTCAGGAGGGAGGAAGATGAAGAAGTGAGGCTCAAACCAGGGAACCCCAAAGTCAGGCCGACGTCCTGCAGAGGCCCTGCTGGGGGGGACCCTGCCCACAACGCTCCTTGGCTCTTGTTGCCAAATGAAATGGGGCAGCCACAAGAGTGGGCCACCCTGGGGCAATTCCTCTTGTACAACTAGGTCCCAGGGTTGCCTGCTCACAGGGACTGCAGGTTGTTTCTCCAGAGCCTGGCAGACCAGACCAGAGCGAGCACAGGAGAGGCAGGCCCAGGAAGGAGAACATGGGTCTCAGGCCTCTCTTTCCTCTCCTTCTCTGCCCAAGTCCACTTCCAGGAAACCCGGGGGTAGGACGCCGCAGCCACCAGGTGCCCACCGGGGCTGTCGCACCTCCTTATCAGTCTGCACAGCCACCAAGGAAACCGGGCCAGTCACCATCTGCAGCTTGTTACTGCATGCCAACTGGGTGCATGGGCCAGGGTCCCTGGCCAGCACCAAGGCCTCCCACAGGAGCGGCCTGGGCCACAGGCTGCAACCGCTGCTGGGACTGCCAGATGTGATGGAGCTCCTTGAACTGCTCCACCATGTGGTCTTTGAGGTCTGGGTTTGAGATCTGTAGCCGGATACTATCAGCTGACCAGGAGAGCTCCCCTGAGAACATCTCCAGCAGCAAGCGAGCTGCTACGGGCACCACCTGGGAGGCAAAGAGGAGACAGGACAGGGAGACCCATGTCAGGGCTGCCAGATGCAGGGTGCATGTGGGCTCCCATGAGGGACAGGTGGTAGACTGCATTCTCTAGCCCTGGGCCTTTGTCTCTGGCAGCCAAATTCAGGCTGCCCAGAGAGCCCTGAGCCTCCACCCTGGGGCAAGGGCCTAGCCCCAGGATTCCCCACAGTCGAGCCAAGGCAGAGTTGGTGTAGGGGGTAGGGGGTAGGGGATGTACCTGTACAGTAATCAACTTCTTCTCTCGAGGTTTGGGGTCAGGCCACTCCTCCCCAAAGCAGAAGAAGATCTCGAAGGGTGGTGGGGTGTTGGTCTGGCCTTTCTGGAACAGGATGAGCTCTGCATCAAGATCAAGATCCCTACTCAGAGGCTAGAACTGTGCTCCTGGGCGAGGCCAGGAGGATCACAGCGGAGCCCCTTACCATTAAGAAAATGCTCCAGGCTGAAGAGCTTGGTCTTGACTTCCCGCTGGATGGGGTTGGGGCGCAAGCCATGGGCTGAGGCGCAGGGCCCGCTCCAGAACACCTTGCACTGGCACAGGCGGATGGCATATAGGTCCTGGCCCTGAAGCTGGAGGATGAGCCCGCGGTCCAGGACATCCAGCAGCTGGTTTGTGTAGAAGCGCTGCTTGTCGCTGGGGATGTCCTCGGGGCTGGGGAAACGCACTTGCTCGAGGCTCACGGGGCCAAAGAGTTCCACCTGTTCCTGGGTGGCCTCCAGCTGGCTGTAGAAGAGTCGGCAGCCGTGCGGGTTGCTAATGATCACAGCCTGGGGTGGCCGACCCCGGTACTGGAACTTGATCTCCAGGTCGGTCACTGTGGGGCAGGGGTTGTGTGAGCCCCACGCCTCCCCATCCTGCAGCCCAGCGGCCAGGCCCAGCCCTGGCAGTTCTCCCACTTTGTCCCCCACCCTCCTTGCAGACCCTCCCCAAACCCCCTGCCCAGCTGCTGGGTCCTTACGTGGCAACATGTGGGGGCTGATCAGTAGTTCGGGCAGGAGCTGTTCGCTTGCAGGGGGCAGGCTGGCAGCCAGGGGCCCAGGCTCCATGCTCGGCAGAAGCTCCCTGAAGCCAGCGGGGACACCAGGAGGAGGGGCCAGGAGCCTGGGGTCCGGAGCAGGGGGGACCATCACTACAGGCGGCTGCAGGGTGGGTGGCCACTTGACATCCTCTTTAGGTAAAGAATAGGGGGCCATGGCAGGACCAGGTGGCACTGCTTCTGCAGAAGGCCAGGGTGCACAGCGCACAGCTGTTGATGCCACTCTAGGAACTGCCTCCCAAGCCCGCCTACTCCCAGGCTCCCTGCCACCCCCCTCCCAGGTACCTACGGTACCTGTAGCTTCTCATATACCAGAACCTCAACCACACCACCTCCAGCCCCACCTGTGATGCTCAGGTTTGGTAACATCCTCTGAAGCTGAAGAGAAGAGGAGGGAGGGAAGAGATCACAGAGGGAGAAGGGAGAACAGGTTATTTATTTATTTATTTATTTGAGACAGAGTCTCACTCTTGTCACCCAGGCTGGAATGTGGTGGCATCATCTTCATAGCTCACTGAAACCTCAAACTTCTGGGTTCAAGCAACCCTCCTGCCTCAGCCTCCCCAGTAGGTAGGGCTACAGGCATGTGCCACCATGCCTGGCTAATTAATATTTTATTTTCTTAGAGACGGAATCTTGCTGTGTTGCCCCAGCTGGTCTTGAACTCCTGGCCTCAAACGATCTTCCCACCTTGGCCTCCCAAAGGATTACAGGCATGAGCCACCGTGCCCAGTGATTAAATTGATATGATACTGGGGAAATAACACACAAGAACCACAAGGCAGGCCGGGCGTGGTGGCTCACGCCTGTAATCCTAGCTCTCTGGGAGGCCGAGGCGGGCGGATTGTTTGAGCTCAGGAGTTCGAAACCAGCCTGAGCAAGAGCGAGACTCTGTCTCTACTAAAAATAGAAGGAAATTAATTGGACAACTAAAAATATATAGAAAAAATTAGCCGGGCATGGTGGCGCATGCCTGTAGTCCCAGCTACTCGGGAGGCTGAGGCAGAAGGATCGCTTGAGCCCAGGAGATTGAGGTTGCTGTGAGCTAGGCTGATGCCACGGCACTCTAGCCAGGGCAACACAGTGAGACTCTGTCTCAAAAAAAAAAAAAAAGAACCACAAGGCAATTCCCCCAGCCTTCTGCCTCCAGTCCCAGCTTGGCCATCCCAGGCAGGTGATAAAAGCTCTCAGTGCTCCAGTTTCCGCATTTTCCCTCTGTAGGCAGTAAAACCACCAAGCCCTAACTGCTGTGAGGGTCAGATGGCCTGTGAGCACGCTGGGTAGCAACAAAGCCCCAGGGAGGTGCAGGTGGGGACTTCCTTCCTACCGTTCAGAATCCCAGAACTCCAGAGAGGGCAGCAGGCTCCAGGGGAGTGGGCTGCAGAGAGCCCCTGCCCAGGACCCTCCACGGTGCAGGCAGACTCTGGGAAAAATGACCCCTCCCCGCTTCCCTCCCCCACTCTCACCTCTTCCTCTTCCTCCTCCTCCTCCTCCTCTCCTGCTCCAATAGCGTAATCGTAATCGTCAGCAGGCAGGGACTCTGCACAGCAAAGGAGACAAGAGCAGGACAGGAAAGGAGTTAACCGCAGAGGAGAAGCAAGGCTCCCCGGGACTCCTGCTGCGGCTTCTGCCCCTTCCAAAACTGCCCGAACACGGGACGAGGTGAAGGGCACAGCCACCAGGAGTTGGTGGCGAGGAGAAAGGACCCGGGTCCCTGATCCCATGCCAAGCCAGTCTTGACCCACCCATGACCCAGGGAGTGCGTCCTGGACCACAGCCCACTGGGCCTGCCTGCAGCGAGAGGTCATGGCTGGGGGCTGGGACCTCACACAGCCTCCTGGGTGGCCCACATGGGGCCATGCCTGATACCTGTGGGAGCAGGGCCATTGGAGCAGACCTCGTAGATCTTGTAGGGCTGGGGCGGCATGTCCCGGGGCCCATCATAGAAGAGGCGGAAGTCGCGGCTCTTGTTGAGGGCACAGCGCAGGTTGGCCTTCCACTTGGCCGGATCGGCCTCATCCACCCCTTCAGTGTACTTTCCCGTCTCCTTGGCCCAGGCCTGGGGCAGGAAGAGAGGACAGCTGGCTGCAGAAAAAATCTCTCCCTGGCCCCAGCCCCAGCCGCCTCCTGTCCCCTAGGAGCCCCCTCTGTGTGGGGAGAACTTCAGCCACAGGCCGGGCTCAGTTGAGCCGAAGGTCTCGTCTGCAGCGTGGGGTGCCACAGTCCTGCCCTCACTCTCAGGGTGCCAACGAGCTCTGAGATATGTAGGTGCAGTGAGATGCATCCACAGTCCCTGCTGCGGGGAGGGTGAAGCGGTGCAGTCTCTAAGGAGGACAGTGTAACGTGGCGGATGGGGCAAGCGCTCTGGAGCCAGGCTGGGTTTGAATCTGGAATGCGCCCCCGGCCAGCCCTGCGCCTGGCCATGTCACTTCACCTCGGTCTCCTCCTCACAGTGCCCACCCTGCAAGGCGGCAGCAAAGACTCAAGGTGTTGATGCGCACACGGCACTCAGAGCGGTGCCTGCACGTGGGACGGCTCGTTGGCATTACTTTGGACGGCAACTTGGTGAGGCCAGGGCTACCAATGTCTCTACCCTTTAACTCAGCAGTTCCACTTCTAGGAATTTATCCTACAGAGTACAGAAGCATCCACACACAATTTTGCACATACAAGGTTATTTACAGCAGCACTATTTGTAAAAGCAAAATGACCCAAACACCCAATGCAATGTCCATCAGTGAGGGGCTGGTTAAATTACGGCCAACCCATAGGACGGAGCACTGGGCAGCACCCAAGAAAAGAGGAGGGAACTTTTTGCATAAATACTGACATGTAGCAATCTCCCAGAAATATTAAGTGCAGAAGAGTATGTATACATCTACCAGTGTTGTGAAAAGTGAGGCAAAGGATAGGTGATGTTAGCTTGCGCATGCGCAAAAATCTCTGGGGAAGAATCAGCCAGAAAATGGTAACACTATTTCCTCTGGGGTGGGGGCTGGGCACAGGGATGGGAGGAAGAGATTTTGCTGTAAACTATTTTATGCCTTTGTAATTTTGAATTGTGTGACTGGATTACCTACACAAAAATCAGACATGGATTAGGAAAAGAACTTTGAAAAGCTAACGATCAAGTACAAAGTCTAAGAAAATATGTATCCAAAGTTTAAAAAGTAAGCATTATCTCTGACCCAGCAATTTTTAAGTCTAGGGAATCACCCCAAAGAAATAATTTAGGATGAATAAAGGGTAAGAGTTAAGAGAGTCTACGTGGCAATGTGGTTCTTAACTTCAGGTTTTAAAAGCAACCTGAAGTGTCCAAAAAATGAGACCAAGTGACCAAATTGTGCTAAACCCTTCAGTGGAACTTTCCATAGTCACCAAAAGTGAAGCAGACGTGTTGGAAAGAAAAGCTGTTCCTGCCATTGGGTGAAAAAATGTAGGTTATAAAACAGAAAGATGGCTTGATTCCAATTTTGCATTTCATACATACACACACACGGAAAACTGAAAATATAAGCAAAAACTATTATACTAGGTACCTCCTAGCATTAAGATTACAGGTGAGGGCATGGTGGCTCACACCTGTAATCCTAGCCACTCAGGAGGCCGAGGCAGGAAGATCACTTGAGCCCAGGAGTTCAAGTCCAGCCCAGGCAACATAGTGAGACCCCCCCATCTCTAAAAACAAAAAAGAAAAACCCCAAATACCATTATGTACCCCATAAATATGTATAATTATATGTCAATTAAAAAAACAAAATTAAAAAAGATTATAGGTGAATTGTTAGCTTCTTTTAGCATATGTGGACACTAAACATGTCCTCATGTGTGACAGGGTAAGACAAGAACAAGCAGTCTGTAGGAGGAGGTGCAGGAAGGTCTCCCAGGGACCCTTAGTTCCCACCTTGCTCTGGGGTACAGGTTAGAAAAGGTGTATCCTGTGGCTACATCTGCATCCCCTCAGTCCAGGCCTGGCGTCACCTGCAGCAAGGTAGCTGGGAGAGTAGCCAACCTTGAGGAGGTGCGTGTGCATGAGTGGGGGGTGTGTGTGGATGTGTGGGCTCTGTGTGTGTGTGTGTGAGTGTGTGTGTTCCTCTTCTGGGGGGCGGGTGCCTCAGAGGTGCAGGCTCACCCCCTGCCCTGGGCTTACCTTGAAGATGGTGTTATCCCCGTCCTGGCTGGGGCCGTGCCTCGTGGCATGCCTCCAGGGGATGTAGAAGAATTTCTTTTCCCCGTTGACCCACTGAAGCCCTGGGTACTGGCAGCTGTTCACCTGGGCCACCAGCCAGGGCTTCAGCCGCACGCGGCGGGGCGGGCCGGGGGCCCCGGGGGCGGGCTGGTTCATGGCAGGGTCTGTGGGAGGAAAGCAAGAGGGGCCTGAGCAGCTGCGCGGCCCCAGGGGGGCGGGGGCGCTCAGGGTGTCAGGCCTCGGGCGCGAGGGACGGTCTCTCTATTGCGTCCAGGTGTTCAAGGCCAATTCCCTTTTCCAGCCATGGGCTTTCCTGTCGTGGGGTGACTGAATTTCGTGTTTGGGGGAAGGGAAGGAGCTGAGGGGGTGCTGTGGGCACCCTCCCGGGCACCCTTTGCCAGGCAGGGGCATCCATTCTCAGCTGCTAACGGCACCGAGCGGCCCCTCGGCCGGAGAACTGCCCTCGGCTGCTCACTGGGCAGGTGGCAGCCCACAGCCAGTGCCTGCCTGACACCTGGGGACAAAGCCTGGCTCTCTTGCCTCAAGGCGGGCTACCTGGTGCACCGCATGCTCCCGTGGGACCAGGCCGCGGCCAGCCTCCAGCCGAGCCCACGTCCCTGCCTCGTTGTTTCCCTGCCCTGACCTCCATCCACTGAGAGACCCTCCGTAAATGTCCCCAACAAGACTCCTGTCTCAGGCTTCCAGGAAACCTGGCCTTAGACAAAGCAGAGCGTGGGAATGGGGTTGGTTTCCACACCCAGTTCTCAGAGCTTCCTTTCTTTTTCATTTTCTTTGGGGAGAAAGCTCCCCTAGCCTCGACATCTTTAGAGAAATCCCACCAACCAACTCTGCCTGCCTCCAGCAAGGACAGTGGCCACCAAACTCAGATGTCACCCCTCTAGGGCCATCCTTTTCCTGGATTCTTGGTCCTCCCCCTTCTCCTCCCACTGGACACACATTCATGCAGCTCTTAGGGGGGCCCTGACGCCCGCCAGGGCCTGCGCTGCCCATGGCTGCAGGAAACACAGAGGCCAAGTCTAACCACTACCTACCCACGACGGGAGAGCCCCCCTCCCCCGGGCCACCATGGCTGCCTCCCTAGAGTCAGGCTGACTGTGACCCCCTGCCTCCTCCCCACCTCCTGCCAAACCCCCTTCCAGCCCAAAGCTGAAACCTCCCCTCAGTCCCTCTCCACTCCCAGGCAGTCCCTCCTCTCCCCTTGCTCACGTCCATGGCCCTTGAGAGCCCAGAGTCAGACAGAAAGGACTGAGCCATCCTACCACACAGCCCTCGCGGGGAAATCTGTCGCTCAGCAAATAAGGAACAGAGGGTTGAGCTGAACACCTCTGTCTTTCCAGGCCTGCTTGGGCCTTGCAGCTTGGAGCCTCAGTTTCCCCTGAAATTCCCTGCCCAGTACCTATTTGGGTTGCACCTGTCTGGCACCACCTCCGCGCTGCTAGAGTCTCCCCCTGCAGGCCTCCCTCAGCAGTGCCCACCTCAGCTGCCCAGGAAGGGTAAGGCCAGCCCCTGCCTGGCCCAGGGGCTGGGACAGGAAAGGTGGAAAGCTTCAGCCCTGCCCCCTGGCCTCAGAAGACTGGGGGCTCAGTTCCTCTTTCTGCCCTCGCCTCCACCCAGCCCTAGGGGAAATGAAAGTGGCCAGACC